CTCAAAGACAGAGATGTCACATTCTCACCGTCCTCTATTGAAAAAGAACTTATAAAATTCTGCCGGGAAGCAAGAGGCAAAGAGAATCGGTTGGTGAGTAGCTGGTTCCCCTCCCTGGCTGGCCCCGCCCACTTGTGCTCAGGAGGTGTGCTGTTGTGTCAGTGTGCTGGTGTGGGACTTGAGTGCTTTCATGCATTCTGGAGTTGGGCTATTTTTTATCACGTTAGTATTGACTAAGCACCTACTGTGTGCCGGGCACTGGGGGGATCAGTGGGGAGAAATGACAGTTGGGCAAATGATGCCATGGGATGAGTGTACTGGAGAAAATGACCAGGGTGCTGTGGCAGAGAGGGGAGATGTAGATGCAGGTAGAATAGTCAAGACTCTGAGGAAGAGCATCTCTGGCAGAGGGAACAGCCATTGTGAGCAGGAGAGGCCATGAGCAAGGACACAAGAAGATAACAAACTGGGCACGGGCAGGGGCTAGGGCTGAATTGAGGACAAGAGCCTTACTAATGAACTAAGGACTTTTGTAGCTTTAATTTCCCTGGCAGTCGCTGGTTTGTCTGTCTCTGTGTAAAGGTCTGAATCCTGGTGACTCATAAACTTATTTGGAGGCTGTCAACTCTGGAACTGGGCATGTATTAAGAGCCCAGGGTTTACACTGACCGAACCTGACTGCCAGTACAGGCAGGGCATGGGAGCATGAGGCCCTGCCAGAGAGAGAGGTTTTGAGCGGTCAGTGTGTTGCGGAGGAGAAGGCCCTCCGGTGGAACCGCCTGAAGGCCACTGTCCTCTCTTGCTGCAGTGCTACTACATCGGGGCCACAGATGACGCTGCCACTAAGATCATCAATGAGGTGTCCAAGCCCCTGGCTCACCACATCCCTGTGGAGAAGGTGTGTGAGAAGCTCAAGAAGAAGGACAGCCAGATCTGTGAGCTCAAGTATGGTGAGTGTGGCCAGTCCTTACTGAATCAGCACAGAGCCTTCATGCTCAGGCTTCACGGAGCTGGCTTTCTAGCTGGCACAGGCTGGTGAGAGACAAGAGCGCGGCCAGTGAGCTGTGTAGTGGACCGGTGGTGCCAAGTGAGGGGTCGGTAGTACGGATCTGGCAGGAGAGGCCTCATGGAGGAGATGACACTCAGCAGACTTCAAAGGCGGCAGATCAGCTGAGAGGAGCTGACGGAAGAGCATTGCAGGCAGAGGACACGGTGTAGGACGGGTGGGCAGGGCACAGGGCCTCGCAGGCTGGTGAACATTTGGCTTTAGGTCTTTAATCTGAGTGAAGTTGGGAACGTGGTTTTGTTTGGTTTGGGTTTGCAGGGGCACAGAGAGGTTTTTTCCCCCCACAAGACTGATTTATTTTAGAGAAGGTGGGAGCAGGGGGAGAATCTCAAGCTGGCTCCCCGCTGAGTGTAGAGCCCTATGTGGGGCTTGGTCCCACGATCCCCGATAACATGACCTGAGCCGAAATCGAGAGATGCTCAACCAGCTGAGCCACCCAGGCCCTGGCAACACGGGTGTTTGAGCGGAGAAGGGATGTGGCCTGACCTCGGTTTAATTGGCTCATCCTGCTGAAGGCCCAGTGATCTTTATTATTTTGAAGAGAAATGCTGTGTGCAGACAGGCAGGACCAAGAGTTCTGGGCGCTGCGGCACCCCTCTTGTCGAACAGATCTCTGGTGGAAAAAAGCAGGCCAGGTCCTCAGAGTCAGGACCGGGAATAGTTATCCTTCTCTATAAAACCAACATATTTTATTGTGACTCGAGTGTCCAAGGGCCTGTGTTTGCCCACTTGTGTCAAGGATGCCTAGTCTCCTGAGAGGGACCTGGGGCAGGAGCAGTTGGCTCACAGTCTCTCTGTGCTCACAAGTCATGGGGAGTAAGCTCCTAACCAGGGCCTGTGTGGGGAAATTGGAACTAGGGGATCTGTCTGCTCGGTCACCCTGGAGCTGTCACTCTGCAGTGACTTCATCTCTACTGTGACTAGTTGTCAAGGCACTTGGGCGGGGCGGGGGGTGCGGAGCAACACCACATTTCTTCTGTAAGGTTCGTCCTATAAGGACCACGTGGCCTCTGTCCCAGTCCTGGGCAGCACTGCATGTCCGGGTGGACGCTGCCAGGGTGAAACCGGCCTTCTGGTGAAAGGGCCTCGAGCCAGTTCCCCCAGGTCGGGACGGTGAGCACGGACACGCAACTGCAGGTGTCTGAAATGTTTGTCCCCCTCCAGCCAGTAGGGCTGCTTGTTTTAAGGGCTTGGGGGGCTGTACAGGGGTGACCTTTCCTGGCACTGCGGCTGGGGGTGGGTGGGGGTATCTGCGGCCACTCCCACCAGCTCTCCCTGCTTTCTCCTCCAGACAAGCAGATCGACCTGAGCACGGTGGACCTGAAGAAGCTCCGGGTCAAAGAGCTGAAGAAGATCCTGGACGACTGGGGGGAGACGTGCAAAGGCTGCGCGGAGAAATCGGACTACATCCGGAAGATTAACGAACTGATGCCTAAATATGCCCCCAAGGCAGCCAGTTCACGGACTGATTTGTAGTCGGCCTGGTCCCTGCTGCACCTGAGGGGAAAGCAGCTCACCTGCGTCTTCCCCACAGCCTTTTTGTAATTTATTTTTTAGGCGGGCTCCTGACAATGTCAGGTGTGAAGCCTGGAGCTTTCCTGATGAAGCTGGCTCTCCAGCGCCCCCCTGGGGGGATTCACTTTGTTCTGTTGCTGGTTTACTCTAGGACTTCAAAGTGTGTCTGGGAATTTTTTTATTAAAGGAAGAAAATTTCTAGCTGTCCTCGGAGAATTAAAGTGAATCTGAAATGGGATTTCAACCCTATCGAAGATCCCACCAGTTTATGCTTTCCGGTTCACAAAGAATTGTCCGATATTGTCACATTCATCCCGCAGCAACCAGGGCTGCAGACGCCAGGGCAGGACGCTGGCTGAGGTGTCAGGGGCAGGGGGGGTGAGCCCGGGAGGAGGCTGTGCCTGATGCGCCACCCCGAGGTGACTTCAAGTGGGAGTCCCAGAAGAGGAGTCAGAAGCTGTGGGGCTTCGTGCAGAGCACAGAGGGTTGAAGCTGGTGTACAAGGGAGGGGCTTCCGTGGGGCCTTCTCAGAGGATGACCTCGGTAACTGCCAGTGTTCAGGACCCTCACGTTTCTAGACATGCTCTTGGCCTGGCTACCTCTGCCCACCACCATCCAATCCAGCTGTCTACTTGGTTTGTGGTCTGGTGCCCCAAGCTTCTGATGCCTAATTGGGGTTCTGCAAGACTTACAGGGGTTGTATATAAACCTATACAAAGTCAGTGAGAGGGTGCCTTTTGCCTTGTTGATCAAGAGAAGTCCAACCAATGAAGTCTTGTCCCCAGAGTCTGCTTTTTCAGTTCCTCTCCAGGGCTGGCTTTGGGAAACTCAGTTATCAGCATGAGCTCTGACTTGGTGGAGACCCCTCTGCTTCTTGGGTTGCCAAGACCACCTGAAGGGAAGGACTAAAGCAGTGCTTCCCCAGAAGATCTCAGATCACATCGTTTATGCTGTTAAGTTCAGTCTGCCTCCATAGGCCTTCTTAATCACCTGCTGTGGCGTCCACTAAGGAGAGCCAGCAGCAGTCCCACATTTCATCAACACCAGGTTTCTAGGAGGGAGGCAAGAAGGTTGAGCTACTTCTCGGGCCAAGACTTCCTTCTTTGGAGGAATTACGTGGGCTATTAAGATCTGACAAGTGCAGTGCCCTGAGGCCCCGCCAGGTACTGGGAAAATCCACACCTCAAGACAGAAGTCTTAGGAGGCAGACAGCCGTGGCCTACAGGCCACACTGAACGCAGGCACAGGGAAAACCACCCAACCGGTACTGCTCTAGGGCTGACCCCCAAGGCAAGCTACAAAGGGTTAACTCATTCTGGAAGTGTTCAGATCAGGCAATTGTTAACAGGTGTTTCTTATAAGAGCTTTCCCCTTGCATCTGCCTCAGCTGCTCCAGGAGCAGCTTTATTTATGACCGCGGGAGGAGAAAGAACTGGTAGGCTCTTCCCCACCCCTAAGGTTTCCTTGCAGAAGTTGGGTCAGTTCTGCGATGCGCCCAGCAGCTCTCTGGAGATGACACGTTCCCAACGGGGCTTGGGCAACTGGGCAGGATTCTCCCCGCCGCTGCACCTCACCTCTGGAGAAGAGGTCCTGGCCCTGGAGGTGGATAGAAAGGCACTAGCCAGTGAGAGGTAAGCGTGCAAGCTGTGGTAACTAATGGATTGGCCTCCGCCCTTGGCTCCGTTGGCGCTGCCCTTACAGCTCTGGAGGCCGCAGCAGAGGGTGGCCCCTTGTGGCACCAAGGAGACTATTCCCATTCGGTAAACGGCAGGTTTGCTGGCTCGGGTTTCTCTGTCTGAACCCAGACGGGCCTCGCCTTTTGCACTCATAGCCCGTGGTCGTCGCGGCCTTTCCGGGGGCTGCTGCGTGATACGTAAACGCGGAGGATGTCTGCTTTGCGGGATGTGGGTCCTGGACGGGGCCTAGGAAGAGGCGTGCTTAGGTCCTCTCGCCTGCCTATCCCCGACCACAGTCGGGAGATGCTGTGGAGATGCCGGGTTGGGGAGATGCCACGTAAAGAGGCCGCGCTGGGTCAAGACGAGGGAACCCGGCGCCCAAAGACGCTGCCACTCCCATTCCACGCAGCGTGGACCCCCGAGCCGGAAGCGGGAGGCCTAGGGCCTGCAGCCCGCCGGGGTCGGAGACAGGGCGAACCAGCCGGGTTCTCGCGAAGTCCCGGATCTCCGCGTAGCCCGGCCCCTTAGCCGCGCGGTGGCGCCAGAGCTCGCTGTCGGGCAGCTCTCGCTCGCACGCCCCGGGGTCACGTGACACGGGGCGGCGCATTCCGATGACGCCAGCCCGGCGCAGCTCCGCTCCGCCCGCTGCGGGGTCACGTGACAGTCCGGCGCAGCCTGATAACGCGACGCCCAGCCCCTGGGCTCCCCTCCCGCCCCGCCCCGCCGCCACCGCCGCCACCGCCGCGCCGAGTCCTTTTGTCCAAGATGGCGGCGCCGGGGGCGCTACCTCCTCGGCCGCCGCCGCCGCCGCTGTGAGGGGCCTGCGGGCCGCCCGCCCGCCCGCCGCGCCGGCGCCATGAAGAGGCAGAGCGAGCGAGACTCGAGCCCGAGCGGGCGCGGCTCGTCATCGTCGGCCAAGCGGCCGCGGGAGCGCGAACGGGAGGCGGAGGCGGGCGGGCGGCGGGCGGCGCACAAGGCCTCGGGCGGCGCCAAGCATCCCGTTCCAGCGAGGGCCCGAGACAAACCCCGCGGTAGCGGGGGCGGCGGGGGTGGGCATCGTGACGGCCGCGGCGCCGGGGACGCAAATCACCGTGCGAGCAGCGGCCGCTCCTCGGGCTCGGGCGCCGGCGGCGGAGGACGCGGCGGCAAGGCCTCCGGGGACCCAGGCGCTTCAGGTGCTTCACCCCGCGCGTCTCCACTGCCACCACCTCCGCCACCACCCGGGGCTGAGCCCGCGGGTCCCGGCTCTTCGGCAGCCGCGCCCGAGTACAAGACGCTACTCATCAGCAGCCTCAGCCCCGCGCTGCCCGCCGAGCACCTCGAGGACCGGCTCTTCCACCAGTTCAAGCGCTTCGGCGAGATCAGCCTGCGCCTGTCGCACACACCGGAGCTGGGCCGCGTGGCCTACGTGAACTTCCGGCACCCGCAGGACGCACGCGAGGCCCGCCAGCACGCCCTGGCCCGCCAGCTGCTGCTCTACGACCGGCCGCTCAAGGTGGAGCCCGTGTACCTGCGTGGCGGCGGCGGCGGCGGCGGCGGGAGCAGCAGGCGAAGCAGCAGCAGCAGCGCTGCCGCCTCCACGCCGCCCCCGGGGCCGCCCACGCCCGCCGACCCGCTAGGCTACTTACCCCTGCACGGCGGCTACCAGTACAAGCAGCGCTCGCTGTCCCCAGTAGCCGCCCCGCCGCTGCGAGAGCCCCGCGCCCGCCACGCTGCAGCAGCCTTTGCCCTGGATGCTGCCGCTGCCGCCGCAGTGGGACTATCCCGGGAGCGGGCCCTGGACTACTACGGGCTGTATGACGACCGCGGGCGCCCCTACGGCTACCCTGCTGTGTGTGAGGAGGACCTGATGCCTGAAGATGACCAGCGGGCCACGCGCAACCTCTTCATCGGGAACCTGGACCACAGCGTGTCTGAGGTGGAGTTGCGGCGGGCCTTTGAGAAGTACGGCATCATTGAGGAAGTGGTCATTAAGAGACCTGCCCGTGGCCAGGGTGGTGCGTATGCCTTCCTCAAGTTCCAGAACCTAGACATGGCCCACAGGGCTAAGGTGGCCATGTCGGGCCGGGTGATTGGCCGAAACCCCATTAAGATAGGCTATGGCAAGGCCAACCCTACCACTCGCCTCTGGGTGGGCGGCCTGGGACCTAACACCTCACTGGCCGCTCTGGCCCGGGAGTTTGACCGCTTTGGGAGCATTCGGACCATTGATCACGTCAAGGGAGATAGCTTTGCTTACATCCAGTACGAGAGCTTGGATGCAGCTCAGGCTGCCTGTGCAAAAATGAGGGGCTTTCCCTTGGGTGGTCCAGACCGGAGGCTGCGTGTGGATTTTGCCAAAGCAGAGGAGACTCGGTATCCCCAGCAGTACCAGCCCTCACCCCTCCCTGTGCATTATGAGCTGCTGCCCGACGGATATACCCGGCACCGAAACCTGGATGCAGACCTACGGGTGCGGGATAGGACCCCCCCCCACCTCCTGTACTCGGACCGAGACCGGACCTTTTTGGAAGGGGACTGGACCAGCCCTAGTAAAAGCTCTGACCGCCGGAACAGCCTGGAGGGCTACAGCCGGTCAGTGCGCAGCCGGAGTGGGGAGCGCTGGGGAGATGGGGACCGGGGCCTGCCCAAGCCCTGGGAGGAGAGGCGGAAGCGGAGGAGCCTTTCCAGTGACCGAGGGAGGACAACCCACTCCCCTTATGAGGAACGGAGCAGGACCAAGGGTGGTGGGCCGCAGGTGGACCGGGGCTCTGACCGCACTCCTGAGCGTAGCCGTAAGGAGAACCACTCCAGTGACGGGACCAAGGAGTGCAGCAGCAACTCCCTCAGCAACAGCAGACATGGGGCTGAGGAGCGCAGCCACCACCACCACCATGAGGCTCCAGACTCTTCTCATGGGAAGAAGACACGAGAGAGCGAGCGCAATCATCGGACCGCTGAGGCTGAGGCCAAGCCTCTGGAAGAGCCAAAACATGAGACCAAAAAGCTCAAGAATCTTTCCGAGTATGCCCAGACCCTGCAGCTGGGCTGGAATGGGCTCCTGGTGTTGAAAAACAGCTGCTTCCCGACATCTATGCACATCCTGGAGGGGGACCAGGGGGTCATCACTGGCCTCCTCAAAGACCACACTTCCGGGAGCAAGCTGACCCAGCTGAAGATCGCGCAGCGTCTGCGCCTGGACCAGCCCAAGCTCGATGAGGTCACGCGTCGGATCAAGCAGGGGAGCCCCAACGGCTATGCGGTGCTCCTCGCCACCCAGGCGACCCCCAGCGGGCCTGGCACGGAGGGGATGCCCGCGGTGGAGCCAGGCCTACAGAGGCGGCTTCTCAGGAACCTGGTCTCCTACTTGAAACAGAAGCAGGCGGCGGGGGTGATCAGCCTGCCGGTGGGTGGGTCCAAGGGCAGAGACAGCACGGGCATGCTCTATGCCTTCCCACCCTGCGACTTTTCACAGCAGTACCTCCAGTCAGCACTGAGGACATTGGGCAAGCTAGAAGAAGAACACATGGTGATAGTTATAGTAAGAGACACTGCCTAGCCCAGACCTATTTGCAGCTCCGCATTTGTGTCACAAAAAGCAATTATTTTAAAAATCTGATCACCACTCCCTCCCCACATCCTATCCCCTTGGTTTGAATTCTCTGCTGGGTTATTTTGGTTCATTGGATGGGGGACCAGAGTCCTGATCCCCACCAAAACTAAGTTCTTAGTTTTCGGGGGGGGGGGTTGTTTGTTTTTGTTTTGTTTTTTTTTACAGCAATGAGAAAGGGACTCCTGTCACGTTGATTTCTAGTGTACAAGATACTGTCTGCTGTGTTCTGTATTTTTTTTATTTTTTGACTAACTGTATGGAAAGTTGTCAGTAAAGCCTTTGTCAGAGGATGGATTTTTAATCCTGTTCAGAGTCCTGGTTTAATCAAGTTTTTCCTCTCTGAATGGAAGACTTTTCCCCACTGCATGCACACAAATGCCCTACGTCAGCTTTGCAGCCCAGGTATAGCCCCGAGTCCTGCTCTGTTGGTGGCTCAGTCCCTCAGCTCTTTGGGCCCAGTCAGGACTACGTTCACATTTGTTTTTAGCCTTGGCTGAGAGCAGGTTCACTTTGCCTCTGGACGCTGCCCTGCCTGCCTGAGCAGAGCCTGTGAGCCTAAGCTCTATAGCCTTTGGTGGTTTCAGAGTTTTTGTTTCCTGCGCTGTCCATTCATTTTGAGCTGTGACTGTCCCACCACGCCCAATCTTGAGGCCTTTTGCAAGCAGGTAGTGTTGAGCAGTCGTGTGGTCTTGTAGCGGGGGGGGGGGGGGGGCAGTACAGTACTGATGCCACAGGGTCACAGATCAGACTCAGGCTTCCCCTCTTGTTCAGCCTTAACATGGCTGTTGTGGCAGCGCAGGAACACCCAGCTGGAGGCAGAGCTGCCTCGGACTCCCGGAACACTGGAGGCCAGATGCGAGAACAGAGGGTGGGAAGAAGCTGCTTTTGGCTAATTTTTGAAATTTACCCAGTGTTTGTGAATTCTGGTTCTTCCTTTCTTGTTTGGGGGCTAGGCTTTTTAGGGGACACTGAACCCCTGCACTGAGGAATTTTTGCAACACTGTAAGGGAGCATAGGAGGTTAGGAAGATGCTCTTAGCTGATGTACCTATTTCCCAGGCATAAGGTGAGAGCGTGCGCCTTGGCCTCTTGCCCTGATGCTGAGGTGGGACCACTGGGAGGTGTTTCTGTGGGGAAATGAAGTCACAGGTGCCAAGGTGTTGGGGGCAGTGCTAGTCAGCGCCAATCAAGCCAAGCTGGGGAGGAATACGGAGGCATCCTCCAGCTGGGAGGGAAAGATGGCGGGAAAGAGTAAAATACGGTCATCCCTGGTCCCTAATGAGGTCAGAGGGCAAATGAAGCCAGCACCATTGGGGACCAGGGAGGGAACCCAGTCAGTCATAAACAGTTGTCACATAGAACAGAGTCCAGACACACTGTTCAGAGTGTTCGTGAGGATTGCTGTCAGAGCTGGGGGCCAACAGCAGCCTCAGTAAGAGAAATGAGGCAACTGGCCAGGAACTCCAGGTTCTGCTGGGCACACCACTCTCTGGGCCTGGTCCCCGGCCCAGCCCATGCAAAAGAACACGGGTGACAGCTGGGATGCTTTGAGAGAAACTGTCCTGAGGTAGAGGTTGAAGCTGTGTGGACTGCCTGGAGGAAACCTGCCTCTACAGGGAAAGGGGTGGCTTTTTGAGACTTTGGAGATTTAAAATCAACAGGGGAAGGTGCCTGGGGAGGTACTGCTCACTGGGCCACAGCTGGTGCTGAGAGAACAGGCACGTTCACAAGAGAAACCATGAACGAAGGAAGTGTTAAGCGCGTTTGAGTTCGTGCCTGCGCTGTGGCCACAACTGCTAGGGGTCTGAGCAAGTCCGTGGGGGACTCAGCCGAGCACAGCTCCGCCATCCCAGGGAAGCCCGTACTGCCAGAGGCTGGAGCAGGCCTCGCTCAGAGCAAACGAGGCAGGGCTGGCTTGAAGGCACGTTGCAGGGCTCCCTGCGTTCTTCGAGAAGTGCCTGGGTCCCACACAGGCAAGAGTCACCTTGCCTGTGCAGTCCAAGACTTCTCTGGGCTGTTCAGAGTGGGTGCTCAGAACCCAGAATCCTACACCGCCCAGCAACATCCCCAGATGTAAACCTGCTAGGAAACCTGGTTGGAGAAGACATTTCAAACCTTGCCTTGTCTACTCCTCAGGGATCGGTATTCTCTGGCCCCCAGAAGAATTAGTTGTGGTAAAGAACCAGGGCCCGTGTGACCTTCCTCCTGCTCCTCTTCCTTGGACCCTCTTCTCAACCACTTCCTTCTTCTGGCTCTTAAGACACAGCAGAATCTGTGAACTCTGACAGACTAGCAGGGCGGGTGGTCAAGGCTCTGATTGGTTTCCGCCTGCCCCAGAGAGAGAGCAGTTGCACTGCAGGCGTCCAGGGCTTCCAACTGGGGGTTCGGGTCCTGTCTGACGTGTCCCTTAAAGGCAAAAACACAATCTGCAGCAAATTTTGCCTCAATGTTTGCTGGTATTGTACATGTTTCTCCTAAGTCACTCCGATCTTAATTAAGCCCTGGAATAGTAAGAAAGAGGGCTGATGTCTCCTGAGCCTCTCAGGGCGTGTTGTCAAGCCAACCAGAACTCAGCTTCCCTGTCGGAGGTCCCCATCTCCACCCCAGAGACCTACTGCACTCCCAAGAGCTGCTGGTAGAGTCGAGGGAGCCCGCCAGCGGCTCAGTGGAGTTCACGACTAGAATAGTGTTCTCACTTCGTGACTTTTAACCGGCTTCCTTTTGATGCATCCAGCACCAGCAGCCCAGGCTACTCCACGCTGGGTATCGGCGGCCCATTTAAGCTGAGGCACAAAGCAGCATTAAGGGCTGAGCCCTCTGCTCTCTAAAGGACCGAGAGCTACCTGTGTGACACAAGCCCACTTCAGTATGTGACCAACTGTATGGTGCTCCGAGCCCAGCAGGGCTTTGCCAGCCCCTGGTGAGTTTCAGCCGCCTTGTCTTGCTTGTTTACTTCACAACCAGATTTGTCCCCTCTTCTCTCGCCAAAGGGAGAAAAGTCTCTAGCTATTTGATGACTACACAACAGAAACCAAGAAGCTGTTATTAGGGCAACTCAAAGGAGGAGACTATCGTCTCCTCTTCATTGTGGGAGGAAAGCAGGGCAAGGTGGGTTAAGTGAAAAGGTCAGAGCACGTGGCACTCCCCCGGCAGTACCCCAGTTCCACGACCGCAGGCTGATTTTGGAGGCCAGAGCCCAGTCTCTACGTGCAGCCTGCCTGAGCCCCCGCTGCCCCAAACTGCCCAGCAGGAAGGACAGCTCTCGTGCGCTGTTAACTCTCCCTTGAGGAAACAGTAATGATGGTCACCCAACCAACTATAGCGGTGGCCACTCCTCAGCTTTGCCAGCATGTTCCTCCACAACTCCCCAGCTCTGCCAAATCTGTACTGCAGAGCCGCCTTCTTAAGTCAGAACCCGGGACAGACAGATGTGTCCACAGGGGACCATGCCCGAACACCACCTCCACTACCCCAGCGTGCTTCTTGGGCACTGACCCGATACTCCCTCGGGGTAGGGCAGCAGACCAGGGTTAGACACTGTGACTAAGCTACTTTTCTCCCCAGAGTGCTTTATTTGGGCAGAATGAGTTCCCACCATCCTGGACTCCTCTCTCAGAAGGCCTCTTCACCAGCTGGCTAGAGCTGCAGGGAAAGGGACCACCACTCCTTGGTAAAAGAGAACAGGGAAAGGCCATAAACAAACAAAGACAGACTTGTAGTTTATTTTGTATTTTTTTTAAATAAATACACTTTACATTAAAGAAAAAGGCCTTTGATTTGTAATTTCCACATTGGGGAGAAAGGGAAGAAAAAAATTTTTGAAAAACTGAATCACAAAGAAAAAGAGAGGGAGTGAACTTATATCCTCAACTCCACAAAACCAGTATCCACAACGACCTTGCTGCCCCCAAATCGTGAAGGTGGGTGCATCTAGGCAGTTACTCAGCAAATAAGCACTGCCTTCCTCCCCACCTCCGGCATGAAGGAAAACCACTTAACCTGACAGCATGTGAGGCAACAGAACAGGTTAAAAAATCATATATTATATTTATAATAAAATATTCTTAATCCTTATCAATTTAAGAAACCACGATTTTCCTTTTCATTTAAATACGTATGTAAAAATGCCTCTATATTGTTCTTTAGACATCATTTTCTTCCATAGAAAATGAAGTGCAGGGACAAGAGACCTGGTGGATATAAGTTCACACCCTCAGTTATAAATGCCTGGTGTTTTGTTTTTTTTTGTTTTTTTTTTTCTTTTCAAATTTTATAAAAAACTATTTCTTGTTCTTTAAGTAAAGAACCTTATACAAAGAAAATATATTGTGAAATAACCCCAGAGACATGTTTTTTTTTTTTCCCTTGAGGAAAGAGCTGTCCATCCTAGGAGAAGGGGGAAGCAGAATAGGGCCTAACCCCTGTTGTCTTTTTTGTGGTTGTTATTGTTTTAGAAGGACCCTCAGATTCCAGTGAGGCTCTCTAAGCCATAATCCTCTGAATGCAGGGCATGCAGTTCCTTAAAAGCCAGCCCTGGGAGATAAAGGGAAAGGAAGGTGTTCTCAATTCATCTCAGTTTCTCGCCTGTCAAGAATGTCTTCCACATGGTGATGGCTCCTCACTCATTCAGAGATAAGATGATGTCATCTTCCAAATCAGAGTTGTCAGAGCTGTCCGCTGAAAGGTAAGAGAGAGAGACTAGATTATGCACCAGGCCTAGAGGAAGCTTTCAGGAAGGAAGCCCCTACATATATATACATTTAGACCTGAGCAAAGTTAATCAACATTTCCAGGAGAAAGAAAACACACCAATTAACTCCTTGGAGCTGGCTCTGGAGAATATACTTGTTGGCAACAGTGGCCATGCCTGGGACCTGTTGCCCCTGCACCTTTCACAGGGCCTGGATGCAATGCCCTCTGCCTTCTAGAGGTTCTTCCTAATCGGGGGGCGCTGAAGGGGCAGGGCTGAGGGAGGAACGAGTGAACCTCTGCAGCCCTTCGGCCTCACGCCCTTCACATTCTTCCGGGACGGGCGCACAGGCCAGCCTGGGCCCCGCATGCACGCATGCGCGCACACACCCCCCACCACACACACACACCCCAGGGCCACTAAAAAGGCAGGCTGAGCCCAAGCAAGAATGAGATTTCTTTTAAACTCCTCAACAACACTCTTATCAGAAGACCTCATAAAGGCAGAGGCTGTCAACCCAGGATTTATGCCTCTGAATATCATCCGTGGGGAACAAGTTCCCAAAAAGGAAGAGACCAGCGTGTGGCAGTAACAGAGGACAAGTACCTAGAAACT